CTAATGATGAGCAAATATACAACAGAGAGAGAAGTAAATTTAGCGTTTTTATTTCCAGCATGCGCTCATTCATGGCTGTATTATTTAATTAATGCAAAGTTACGTCTTTATTGGGAGAGGACTTGATGGATTATTTTAGCCTACGTGACTCCTCCGCCTTCATGAGACGATGAGCATATAGATAACAGAGAGCGAATTAAATTCAGCACTTTTATTTCCAACATGCGCCCATTCATGGCTGCATATTATTTAATTCACGCAAAGTTACGTCTTTATCGGGACAGGACTTGACGGATTATGTTACGTGACTCCGTGAGTTCGTCTCTATTTCTTCGAGCCAAGCTGCATAAACTGCATATCAGGCATTTATGTAATACATCTAATTTGTGCATTAATGGCTGTTATGTTAAATAAAGTTTACTAACTACAGTAAATCAAGTACCTGTGCACGCCGTTGTTGTTGTCTCCTCTCCCCTCAGACGCTGTGGTGTAATGGCGATCCTGCGCGCAATTCTCAAAACATCCACAAGATGGCGGTGTTTATCGGTGAATCCGATATTACAAAACCGATATCCGATTATTGTAAAATGCTTAAATATCGGGAAAAATATCGGTAAATCGATATATCGGTTTAATTATTTTACAGATCTCCTTGCTACGTCTCTGGACTTGGGAACATTTCAGTTGCGTTGCTGTCTATGCAGGGTCAGACAGCTCTCAGATTCCCTCAAAAATATCTTAATTTGTGTTCTGAAGATGAACGAAGGTCTTATGGGTTTGAAACGACATGAGGGTGAGTAATTAATGACAGAATTTAAATTTTTGGGTGAACTAACCCTTTAATTCCATCCAAGTGTTTTTAGGGCACTACTATACATTTGCTAGGGCCTTCTCTGTAGTTGCTTAGCAGTCGATGTGATCCTCTGTGGTTGCATTCTAATGGCATAATACAGTTGTCAATCCAATCACACATTTAATATGCTAACTGAAGTGACTTCTAAATATAAAAGGTTCCACCACATTCCATCAAAATTTGGTTATGAAAATGTATTTCATCACTGTCACTATGGTTACAGGTGGTATTAATGGCTACGGGGATACACTTTATTGACTCTTTCACACAGACAGTATTCAAGCTGTTCCTGGCCAGGAACAGGATATTTTGAGAGTCACACCTGCTAGTAAATACTGTTGTCAATTCTAAACTGTGTGAATAGCCTATACTCTGGTCCTTAGATACATCTTGAGTCCCTCCTTCAATGCAAGTCTATTTATTTAAACGTCTATTTTTAAGTCTTTTTTTATCAAGAGGTTCAGATCCAGACCCATGTTGACCTTCTACAAGAAATTTGGAGTTCAGTGAAGTTTTCTTGAATTTTTAGGCAGTTGAAGATATTTGATAAGAAATATTTGGTCTTGTTATAGAACAGCATATAAATGAAAAAATAGTTACTTTTTTATAGTGGCTGTTCTTATATGCCTTAAGTGCGCGTATCATTTCAGTAATTCAGTGTGTCTCATCAGCAGTGAGCAGAACACTGCTTTAAAGCAGATCCCGGTGTAACTCTGCAATCTCTAGCTGCTTTTGATCATTATAGCTCAGCCTCTTTAATTAGCTGATGAATCACATTTCTGCTCTTCATAGCACCATTATTTCTTATTCTGAAGGGTCTGATGGGGAGTCACGGCCATCAGCACAGAGTACTGACCAATAGTTAGCCTGACTCATTAATGGATTTCACATATGACTCAGTGAAAATGTGCAGTTGATGTTGTTTTCTTGGAGCACTTACATGTATTTTGGAAAAACTACAGGAAGTTGTTTTGTTGATTTGTTCTTTTTTGAAATATTGCCTCTGCACTTAGGAACAAGTACAAACTTATAATAATAATGATAATAAAAATACATTTATATCTAATGTGTAAACGTATTACTGTTCAAAAGTTTGGGGTCAGTAAGATTTAAAAAAATAACACTTATTCAGCAAGGATGCTTTAAATTGATCATAAGTGAAAGACATGTTTAATGGTACAAAAGATTTCAAGTAAATGCTGCATATTAAGCAGCTCAGCTGTTTTCAACATTGATAATTAAAAATGTTTCCTGAGAAAACAAATTACCTGTTTGAGCAATTGATGTGTGTCCTGAAGAAGGCTGTTTTGCCGAAACGCGTAGATCTACTTTTAACTAGTTGTAATGATTTAAAGGGTTAGTTCACCCAAAAATGAAAATTCTGTCATTAATTACTCACCCTCATGTCGTTCCACACCCCTAAGACCTTTGTTCATCTTCAGAACACAAATTAAGATATTTTTGATAAAATCCGATGGCTCAGAGAGGCCTCCATTGACAGCAACGCCACCCAAACTCTCAAGATCCATAAAGGTACTAAAGACGACATTAAAACAGTCGACGTGCCTTCGTTCATCTTCAGAACACAAATTAAGATATTTTTGATCAAATCCGATGGCTCAGAGAGGCCTCCATTGACAGCAACGCCACCCAAACTCTCAAGATCCATAAAGGTACTAAAGACGACATTAAAACAGTCGACGTGACTATAGTGGTTCTACAATAATTTTATGAAGCTTCAGAGTAATTAATGACAGAATTTTCATTTTTGGGTGAACACCCTTTATGCCCAGTTCATTAAATGCTTTTTATCTTACCACGTGAGTGCCTTGGAAGTATTTTGTCTACATAATTCAATGTTTACCTCCATCACATCCAATGAGCACCAGTAAAGACTATGTAAAGACACCCGTGTAGCACTCTCTGCTTCTGTTTTTTTTTAAGAATACAAAGAGCAATGTTTAACATTTTACCAGATTTAGCCCTACACTTATTCACTTTTATTTGTTCCCCACTAAATAATGTTTTTTTCCCCCACTAAATATTTAGATTTTATAAAATTATTGGGCACTCATGATTTTCTTAGAGTAACTTTTGCTACTGAATTATCCACTAACCTAGTTTATAGTAGTATTTTTATCATAGATTATTATTATATATTTATTCATTTGTTGTTTTTCTTTACAATGAAGTTGTCTATCCCCCGGTTTCACAGACAAGGCTTAAGCCTAGTCCCAGACTAAAATGTAATTCTGAGCTGTTTCAACTGAAATAAACTTGCACTGACTGATCTTAAAACATATCAGTGCCTTTGTTTTGTCTCAAGATGCACACCAGTAATGTTTTTTCTAAGGCATGTTAATAAAAATTACTTAAATGTCCTTATTGAACTATGGCCTAATCCTGGCTTAGTCTAAGCCCTGTCTGTGAAACCGGGCCTATATGTGTTTAGACTGTGTTTAACACACAAAAGAGTGATGATCAGGTCAACACACTGAGGTATAGTAATTCTACACTGATTTAAAAAAAAAAACCTGCGCTTGGTATCAGATCGGTATCGGTATCGGCAGATACTCAGAATTTCTGGTATCGGATCGGGATCGGTTCTAAAAAAGTGGTTAAAAGCCCGAATTACCATATTAGAAATATTTCTAAAGGATGTTGTGACACTGATTTATTTTCACAATTTTATTCAGCTAAAAATATATAAAGAAAATATATATGTTATGTGATATTTAATTTTATGATTTTTTTTAATAGAGGATTTGTGTACGACAGCCGGAATAATCTACAGATGCGAGGTCTCATTGTGCTGCTGATGTCAAAAGCAGCTGGTCCATGTCCCAGTACCAGTGACCCGATTCATGACAGTATGGTCAGCGGCATCTACCCCAGGTAACAATACCTTTCTTTCTCTTTTTTACTGTTTTCTTTTTCTTTTTCTCAGGGTCATGGGACTCTAACAGCTTGTAGCTTTGGCCATTAGTGAGAAATGACTGCTACCACACACAGGCTTAGACAAAGTGAGAGAGGGAGGGAGAACAGCCAGAAAGATGTTTGAAAGATGGCAAGAGAAAGGAATATGGAGAGGGCAAGGACTGTTTGTGTTATGTATGGACATTGCTAGTTTACACATAACAAGTCCATAGACTTCAAAGACCAAAGCCAACTGTTTCATATTTGATACATGATCTTCTAGGTCTCTAAATTATCAACAACAATTTTTTTTTTAAAGGTTTATTTATGGCGTTTTATGCTTTTATTTAGATAGGACAGTTTAGGTCGACAGGAAGTGAAGTGGGTGAGAGAGAGGGGGATGGGATTGGGAAAGGTCCACGAGCCGGGACTCGAACTCGTGACACCCAAAGCGCAATGACGCTGTATGTCGGCGCGCTGCCCACGAGGCCATCGACGTCGACCAACATAATTAAAACTTTGCTTAAACACCTACTGTACACCTAACACCTAACTTTGATGCACACAATCTACTATATGCATCCTGCCCTCTTGTTTAATAATTAATACTTTTTTATAAATAACACAGCTACACCAACTGCATATTTTTGCATATAGTTTTTTCCTCCTCGAATGTCAGCTCCATATTTTCACTATATCATAGTATACCATACAATCCTGATGTCTCAAATATGATATAAAACGAATTGTTTTATATATATACAATTAGGTCCATATATATTTGGACACTGACGCAATTTTCATAATTTGGTCTCTGTATGCCACCAGAACAGAATTAAAAATAAAACAATCGAGATGAAATTGAAGTGCAGACTTTAAGCTTTAATTCAAGGGGTTGAACAAAAATATAACAAAATGCTTGGGAATTACAACCATTTTTATACACAGTCCCCCCATTTTCAGGGGCTCAAATGTAATTGGACATATAAATATAATCATAAATAAAATGTTAATTTTTAAATATTGTTGAGAATCCTTTGCAAGCAATGACTGCCTTAAGTCTGGAACTCATGGACATCACCAGAGACTGGGTTTCCTCCTTCGCGATGCTTTGCCAGGCCTTTAGCTCATGCCATCACACTGCTCCACCATGTTTCATAGATGATGTTGTATGCTTTGGATCATGAGCTGTTCCAAGCCTTCTCCATACTTTTTTCTTCCTGTCATTCTTTTACAGGTTGATCTTAATTTCAGCCGTCCAAAAAATGCTTTTCCAGAAGTGGTCAGGCTTTTTTTTAGACGTTTTTTGGTTAAGTCTAATCTGGCCTTGTTTGCACCTTGTGGTGAACCCTCTGTACTTGCTCTCGTGAAGTCTTCTCTTGATTGTAGATTTTGATAGTGACATGCCTACCTCCTGGAGAGTGTTCTTCACTTGGCTGGATGTTGTGAAAGGGTTTTTCTTTACCATGGAGAGGATCCTCCGATCATCCACCTCTGTTGTCCTCCATGGACGTCCAGGCCTTTTTATGTTGCTGAGCTCACCAGTGCATTCTTTTTTTTCTCAGAATGTACCAAAATGTTGATTTGGCCACTCCTAATGTTCCTGCTATCTCTCTAATGGATTTGTTTTGATTTTGAAGCCTAACATTTGTTTGTTTCACCTTTGACTGCATGATGTGGGTTCACAGCAACAGCTTCCAAATGCAAATGGTACACTTAGAATCAACTCCAGACCTTTTACCTGCTTAATTGATGTGGAAATAACGAAAGAATAGCCCACGACTGTCCATGAAACAGCTTTGGAGTCAGTTGTCCAATTACTTATTGTCCCTTGAAAAAGGGGGGAGGTACATGTTAAAGAGCTGTAATTCCTTAACCTTTCCTCAAATTAAAGCTCAGAGTGCACACTTTAAGCCCATATTCATTATATAACTGTAACTTGAATATGTTTTGGTCAGCAGCTAAAATAATAAAGATTGTGCCTGTGTCCAAATATATATGGACCTAACTGTATTTTGTCTAAAGATTCAGTAAACTGTTTCAGGCTTTACAGGGTTAATTTTTCCCTCAGTAGATAATTTTAAAAGATCTGGTCTGGTGACAAATGTATTTTTAAAAGTACAAATATTCCATGCAGTCTCTCAAGGTCATGGAGAGTCATAGTAATTGCAAAGGAATTGGCAAAATGTTGTTTAAGCAATCCAAAAATATACCATTACCTTCTCTGCTGATGTGGAGAAGGCTTTGCAGTCTATGAAACAAATCTAATACACTTGTGAGGTATTATATTACAGCGGACACTGTTTGTTAAAGTTGTCTTCAACTCTTTAAATAAAGTTTGCCTGCTGAAATCCACACCCTGATGAAGGATCTTCAAGCCGCAATGCGTTAGTTATGGTTTTTATGGTTGTAGCTGTATTTTAATATAGCCGTTTTAATATCATACCTCAATTATTTTGTTTTACAGATCGCCGTCAGTTTTAGATATAGTATAGCATGTCAGTTTTAGGAGTATAGCATGTCACATCGCAGGACATGTCAACTTCCCAAAAGTATTCAGTGTCAGCATATAAGTGCTTGCTTGTGTGTGTTCGTAGGTGGGAAAAGTGGAGAGAGATGAATAAAAATGTATTTTTTATTTTATAGAATTTAAAAAAAATATTTGGCCGGTATCTGGGCATCAGGTTTAGAGAAATTTTTCATTTGGACACCTTGAAAGCTACAGACTGCTGAAGATTTTATTTCGGAGAAGAAGAGGTTCACATTTCATCTGAGGCCAATTAGAAATGTAGCCTTTTTCTCTTTCCATAAGTGAAAGTGAAAAAAGAGCATGACATTTGTTTTTAAAATGTAGCATTGAATTCAGAGAGAACAAGGTTTATTGGAAAACAAGATCTATGGTAACCGTGTTGCATAGACAGATCATCGGAAACAGGATATGAAAGTGTGTAGGGTAAATTATGTCCAGTTAAGGACAAGAAATTGACACACATGCAGCACACACAGTTGTGCATCCACTTCCACTGCTGTGCCTCAGAAGGACTCTTGCTCTAAACAGGCTGGTGTGTGTGTGTGTGTGTGTGTGTGTGTGAGTTCTTTGGCTGCAGTGCCAGGGAGTTACCAGAAGCGGCTGTTGTACTTGGCAGCATGTGTGTGTGTGTGTGTGTGTGTGTGTGCACAAGCTGTCTGAATGAACTCTTTCTCTCTCGCTGAGCGGGGAAAAAGAATGTCAAAGCAAGTGAGAGGAGGGACCGGCACTCATCGCTATACTTCTCTGTTTTTTCCCCCTCGTTTTCTTGCTTCTACATCCCCACGTTTCCCTCTAAACAGGAAGTGACCTCATAGTTCCACAGCTGGAAAGTGGGTGTCATGGAAACAAGATGGCGATGTAGTTGCCCTGAGACTTGTAAGAGTCAAGGCTGACCCATTGTGGGTGTGTGTGTGTTAAAAAAGTGTGAGGTGAATGATGGTGAAACATGCACACACACAATTACCCACATTTAAAGGGATATTTTACCCAAAAATGTCATTATTTACTCCTGTATGACTTTACTCTTCTGTGGAAAAAGGGAATTTGTGAAAAATATCCTGGCTATTCTTTTTAATATAATCAACATCAATTAGAACTGAACCTGTGAAGCTTTAGAAATTCCACTAAAAAGCATAACAGGTGGTCCATATGATTTACGTGCTATATTCTAAATCTTCTAAATACTCCCAAATTTAAAAGAGAAGAGAATGATGTCAAACATACATCTGAATTAATCAGACATTCTTCTGAATCTGATATTTTTCAGTGAATCACTTGATCTAGTTTATGAATTAATAATTCTGAATGATTAATTTACGATCTGACTGAGCTGTTCAGCTCACTGATTAATAGATAAAGATTTAAGAGAGAAGTAGCAACTCTTTGTTCATGAATCAGACGTTCTTCTGAATCAGATCTTTTTAATGCATCAGTTGATTTGGTTTACAATGAATGATACATTTGCAGTCTGACTAAACTGTTCAAGTAACTGACAAATAGATACACATTTCAAAAGAGAAGTAGCAAGGATTAGTTCATGAACCAGACATTCTTCTGAATCAAATCTTTTGATTCAGTTGATTTGGTTCACAGTGAATGATTAATTTACATTCAGATTGAACTATTTCATTCACTGATAAATATATAAAGAATCAGACATTCTTCCCAATCTTATTTTGCCAGTGAATCAGTTGATCCGGTTCACAATGAATTATTACAATTGGACTGAACTGTTAAACTCAATGATCCTGTTAACAGTTTACTAGAGGGGAATTTAAATATGAAACACACATTATCTGGACCCCTTTATGATTCTATTATTGTGCTTTCGAGCAGAAGAAATTTTAAAGTTTCTCCTTGTGTGTTCAGCAGAAAAAAAGGAAGTTCTGATTTGGAATGACATGAGGATGAGTAAAGAATAAACATGTCTGTTGTAGTTATCTCTTTGTAACATATAGAGCTTTTTTCTTCCTCCATGTCTGTATTTTTCTCTTTCTTTGTCGGTCCTCTCTCTTTCCTTTCAACTTCCCCCTTCCCTCCCAGCTCCGATGACACCTTTCGCTCTCTCGTTCCTGGTTAGAGGTGTGTTTGATGGTGGTGATGGATGAATTGCTGTGCTGCTCTCCTCCTCCTTGACATGCAGCATTTGTAAAATGTCCCTTCGAGTCACTTTTTCTCTCTCTCTCTCTCTCTCTCTCTCTCTCTCACTCACACACACACACACACACACACACACACACACAGAGACAGACAGTGTGGTTGTGTGTGCATGTGAGGTGGATGGTAAGTGTGTGTGTTCACTTCTGACAGAAATGCTCATGGTTTGGGGGTGTGTGTATGATCGCATACATGCACGAGTGCATCTCGCTGAGAGAGACGTCTGTTTGAATGATTGCTCGACAGTTCTTTTAAGGGACGTGTGGAACATGAGTGTGACATTCAGCAGACTTTGGCTGTGTCCGAAAGCTGAAAATAAGCATTGTACAGTGTCCATGTTTGCTCGGTTATCTCCTAAAGTCCCCTTGAATTTGTTTTAGATCATTAGACATTATGGCATCCTGGAAGCCTGTCTCGTTCTAAAGGTGGTACATGCAAAATACTACCTGTTTAGTCATTATCTGGGTTTCCATTCACAAATCTTAATGCAAATATTAGGATTTCGCAAAAAAAGAAAAAGAAATTACTGAATGGAAAGGCCAACATAAAAAGTGCATGAAAAATGTATACACTCACTTAAGATGGTTACATTGATTAATGTACTACTTGAATACTATGATGGAAAAACAAAAAATCCAAGATTTGCTCAAGTCATGTGACAGAATAATTGCATTTTTTTATTTTGCACCAATTTCCCTGAAAGAGATGGAATTGCTGCTTTATTCTCAAATTGTTTTTGCAATATTCAGATTTTTCGCAAGTTGACATTAAGGTTTATTTTTTTTTTGGCTTATTTTTTTAATGAACATTACATAATCTAATTAATTTGACAAATTTAATGAGTGCAGATGTTTCACTAAAAATTAAATCTTACACTTTTTTTTACAGTTTTTTTGAACGATATTAATTCTTTTATTCAGCAAGGATGCATTAAATTGATCAAAAGTGACAATAAAACATTTATAGAGTTACAAATAATTATATTTCAAATAAAATCTGCTCTTTTGAACTTTCTATTCATCAAAGAATCCTAAATAAAAATGTACACACAGATGTTTTCAATGTTGATAATAATATGAAATGTAAAAACATTTCTGAAGAATCATGTGACACTGAAGACTGGAGTAATGACTGCTGAAAATTCATTTGAAAATATATATAAATAGAAAACAGTTATTTTAAATTGTAATACTATTTCACAATACTATTTTTTCTACTGTGTTTTGATCAAATAAATGCAGCCTTGGTGAGCGTAAAGGTCCTGGCACACAGAAAATTTTCATATGCATTTTTTCGTATTTGTCTTCCTAAAAATTCGGCACGCACAAACACCTCTCAAAATGCTTGCTACAGATGTGAAAAACACAGAAAATTTAACCCGGTCCGATTTTTTTATGACGGACAAAAGTTTTGCAGGCAGTGTGTGAACGTGATTGACACAACGTGAGGTCGTATTTATTTTTTAACGTGCAAAAATATTGGACGAGAATTTTGAACTCCGTGTGCAAGGACATTTAGAGACTTCTTTCAAAAACATAAAAAAATCTTACTGACCCCAGCATTTTGAATGGTATTCATTTTTAATATATATGACATACTGTATAGAGCAGACTAAACAGAAGAACGAGTCTTATTTAGTACTGGTAGTTATATAGGTGGTTTCTGTGGTGTGTGTGTGTCTTGTGTTAAGAGTTGAACTCACATCATAACGAGTTTAGAAACAAAGCCATCTCTGATCTTTCATTGAAACATCAATTGGCTGAGATAGTGACAGTGTGACAGCTTTAGTGATGCTCTTGGTCAACTGACATCTTGACCTCTAAGGTGATCTGCTGTGAGCTTGCAGGCACACACTCCACTGAGCTTCAGGGTTAAATTGGCAGAGAAAATGGAGCAGACAGAGAAAGGGGGCGTGTCAGGGGGCGGAACCCCTCTGCGCCATGGCATCGGTTGCTATGCAACTGAGTTCTGAGGCTATTTATACTCCCTGTGCTGCCCCTCCCACTGACTTCAAAAAAACGTAGACGGCATAGCTGCAGATTTGGGGGAAAATTAGATTTCGATTAAACTCTGGCTGTCTGCACACAGCCGAAACACTGCAGTCAGTCCAAGGATGAAGGAGACAAAGACTATACAAAATCATTTCAGGGTAGAAAACTATTAATTCAACAACACTAGTTACAAATATCACCACTATTACTAATGAGTGGTCAAATCAGCAACTCAATACTGGCAGCTGCAAGGTGTTGAGAAGGACACACACACACACCTTGGCCACATTCACACTGCAGCTAAATGTGGCCCAAATCTTTTTTTTAAGGGACTGATGAGAACTTTTAAATGTGGCATTAAAATAGTCAAACTTGGCATGCTAATCTGAATTAAATAAATGGAGGCAATTATTATGAACCTGATCTTCCGTGGAAATTACACATCAATTAAGAACAAGGGCAAGGAGGCGGTAAAGGGCCTAAATTGTATTATTGGCATTCTGTGGACTCATTGTCTTCCACACTAATGGAAATGAAGCATGTCAATGATGGTGAATGATTATGAATGATAAAACCAAAATAATTTTATAAAACTGAATTAAAATGTCATGCATTTTGTGCTGTTCATGTTGTATTTCAAATGTATTTATTTTTATTTATTCTTTTTCATTTAGTTTATTTTTCAATTTAGTTCATTTTTCAACTTTTAAATAAAAAAATGTTACATTTAAAGCACTTTAGGACAGTATTTTTTAATTATTTAATTTTTTTAGTCCTTTTTTATTTTAATTAAAAATGTCACATATGATTTGGGCTGTTCATAGTATAATTTAAAAAACAGACCCGTGTCATGTGTGAACATAGCCCTGAAGACTTTGTCAGGGTCTGAGATCACACACCTGTTCTAGAAAACAACTTTTGATATGCATTTATAGTCAACATAAAATGCCATTCACTATGCGTTTTGCTTCCATAATCAGATGCATTTCTGAGTTAAACAGGATATTCATTGAGCAGAATGTTGGGTGGGACTTAAAACAACTTTTGATATGCATTTATAGTCAACATAAAATGCCATTCACTATTCACTATGCGTTTTGCTTCCATAATCAGATGCATTTCTGAGTTAAACAGGATATTAATTGAGCAGAATGTTGGGTGGGACTTCACTGTATTCATCAAGATTGATTAGGTTTGCAAAAAGTGGATGTTTAATATTTACCAAGATAAAAAAGACAAGTAAACCCTACAACTCTTGACCTGAGATGATAGATACATACAATTACACTTCTTTAAAGTATGTTTGAGTTTCCCCAGTAATCCTCATCCATTGTAAGCCACATCAACATCTCAGATCTGTTTTTACCTGTGTCAGCTGAAGTGAAACTGACCGGGATCGGTGGCTGCGTGGACAAGAGAGCTCTGCACAATAGGGATGATTGAGCCCAGGAGATGGTCCATTACAGAACAGCATTTAATGACAACAAGAATTATTGCAGTGCTTTGTAATTACCCAAGCATTGACTGTGTGTGTGAGAGAGAGCAGAAACGGCCACAGAGATTCTCTCACATTGCCAGACTGAAGAGAATCCCTTCATCAAAGACGCTTTTTCTTCAGTCTCTCACCCTCTTTTCTTTCCATGTCTCTCGCTCTGAAGGAGGGGTAAGTGGTCATCAGCGCTAACATCTCTCTCTTGTGTCTGGAAGGTGGTTATCGCTGAGACCTCAATGGTCCAAGCTGATTATGGTCCTGAACCCGGCAAATCAACATTTGATTATAACGTCTGTGTGATGGCGTTGTGATAATCGGGCTCATCTGATAATCAGTGGCAGTTGGTATTTTGCGAAGTGCATTATGGTCATCAGGACACTTGACACTCTCTCTGGTTTATTTGTTCTGCAGAAGAACGTTTGGGCTAAAATCACTCCCTTTCCGTATAAAGTGTGCTGTAGCATCTGGGACTGTTTATAGATCTAATACCCTCTCAGAATCACAATATTTCTCTCTTTCTGTCTCTTTGTCAGTCAGAGGAACTTGGCTGAGATCACGGAGCTGATTCACACGGCCTTCCTGGTGCATCGTGGGATTGTGAATCTTAAGGAGTGGACGAACTCGGATGGCCCCCTCAAAGACATGCAGTTTGGGAACAAGATGGCAGTTCTGAGTGGCGATTTCCTGTTGGCGAACGCCTGCACGGGATTGGCCCAGCTCAATGACACCAAGGTACTAAATGAATGCTGTAAAAAGCCTCCAGGTTTTTCCATTGCCTGCTCTTCGCTTGCTCCATGCTCAGTAATGAAAGAAACCCTGCTTTGAGTTTGCTGTTGTAAAATTTGAGCCCAAATAATAATCAGTACACATTTTCCTAGCTACAGTATTCACACTACCATTCAAAGGTTTGAGAACAGTAAGATTTTTTTTTTTTAAGAAATTAATGCTTTTATTCAGCAGGATTGCATTAAATTGATAATTTGAAGACATTTATAATGTTATAAAATATTTCTATTTCAAAAAAATGCTGTGCTTTTGAACTTTCAATTCATCAAGAATCAAGTTTTCTAGAAAAAGAGTTTTAAGCAGCACAACATTTTTCTACATAGATGATAATAAGAAATGTTTCTTGAGCACCAAATTAGCGAATTAAAATGATTTCTGAAGGATCGTGTGACAGGAAATTTCAGCTTTGCACTCAAAGGAATAAATTGCATTTGAATATGTATTAAAATAGTTATTAAAAATAGAAAACATTTATTCTAAATTGTAATAATATTTCAAAGTATTGCAAAATATTGTTACTGTATGTTTGATCAAGTCAATTCAAAGTTAGTGAGCATAATAAGCGAGCATGTTTTCTTAAAAAAAAAACATTAAAAAAAATGTTATTCAGTTGTAGTGAAGATGAGGACATAGATTTCAGTTGTTTTTTTTTAACTATATATAAAAAATTATAAACATGGACTGTCCATTATTTCTAAAAGACAAGGGAAGTGTTTTTATTTACTTGTGTATTTTAATTTATTTATTTTGCATTTTAAGGATTAAGAAATACAACTGAGAACATCCCAGTAATCCCCAAATAGAGGTTTTGTCAGATTTAGCTTACTACTTATATTTTTGTACCAAAAATATAGTTAAATAAACAAACACATCTCTTCATGCTGGAGGTGTGAGCCACTTTTTTCCATCACATTTGTGTTTTTATGCAAAACACCGAAAAAAAAGAATAATTTCACCGGCTTCTGACTTCCTTCTCAAAGACTTTGTTCTCCACGCTGTACGCAGTGTGTGTCCTGTCTTGCTAATTTCCATACACTTGCATTCTCCCTCATTCTCTTGCGCTCTTTATATGTGTGTGCACGAGTGAGTGAGCATATGTCTCCTACACCCCTCATTAAGTGTCAGTGTTCTCCTCCAGCTCTAATTAGAGTCGCAGTCAAAGCACCGTCTAACTGCATGCGGCCAGCAGCCCCACTGCCTCGCTCCGCTCAGAGTTACAGCATCTCACTAGAGCATCTTTTTGAATATCTTACAGTGTTATGAATGGCCAGTACAATATCAGGACATTTTAGAGCAGTGTTTCCCAGCCTATTTTGTGTTATGCACCCCTAGAGTCCTATTGATTTTGGTCAAATACCTCTGAACGGTTGTTACTTTTAACTCGTTGGTGCTGTTCTAGCTGCTACTTAGGCTGGGCCCGAAATGAAATAGACCATCATAGGTTACTGAATTGAAATGCACTACATAGGCAGCAACACCATGCATCATACAAATGGCACAAGAGCTTTGACTTAATTAAGGGATAAATGCATAAAAATACATAGCTCACAAAATATTGGGTGCATATATATTTTTGATTGTTTTAAACTACATACATTTCAGTATAGCATGATTAAAAGTGTACATTACTGTTCAAAGGTTTGTGATCTGTAAGATTTTTTAGTGTTTTGAAAGTCTTATGTTCACCCAGACTGCATTTATTTGATTAAAATAGTACAGTAACAATATTATCACAATATTAATGACAGTATTCTATTTTAATATACAGTTGTGCTCATAAGTTTACATACCCCTTGCAGAATGTGCAAAATCTTAATAATTGAAACAAAATAATAGGGATCATGAAAATTGCATGCAATTTTTATTTAGTACTGTCCTGAATAAACTATTTCACATAACAGATGTTTACATATACTCCACAAGACAAAATAATAACTGAATAACTGAAAAAAAATTAAAAGGGTAATTGCAACTTTTTATCTCACAATTCTGACTTTTTTTTCTCGCAATTGCAAGTTTACATCTCGCAATTCAGAATTGTGAGTTTATATCTCTCAATTGTGACTTTATAACATGCAATTACGAGTTAAGTCAGAATTGTGAGATATAAACTTGCAATTCTAAGATCATATCAGTCTTTTTTCCCCTCAAAATTAGGACTTTAGAACTCGCAATTGTGAGTTTAAAAGAGTCAAAATTGCCAGATACAAACTTGCATTTGCGAGAAAAAAGTCAGAATTTTAATTTTTTCGAGAACTTTGAGTTTTTCTCACAATTTTTCTTTTTCTCACAAAATTGCGAGTTTTTCTCTAGGTTTTTCTCGCAATTCTGACTTTATTTCTCTCAATTGTTTATATCACGCAATTCTGAGAAAAAAAAGTCAGAATTGTGATGTTATATCTCGCAATTCTGACTTTATAACTTGCAATTGTTTATATCTCACAATTCTGAGAAAAAAAGTCAGAATTGCGAGTTTGTATCATGCAATCCCGAGAAAAAAAGTCAGAATTGTGAAATAAAAAGTCGCAATAACCTTTTTCAAATTTTTTATTCAGTGGCGGAAATGGGCTTCCATATAAAACAGTTGTGATGCTGAGTATTTTCGAAACATATAGGCCTAAACATTTTTTATTTTAAAAACTACATTATTTTTGAAAGAAAGAACAGCATTTATTTGAAATAGAACTTTTTGGAACACATTTGATTAATGTAATGCATTCTTGCGGAGTAAAACTATGAGTTTTGTTAAAGAAAATGTATTGACCCCTAAATTTTGAACATTAGTGTAATTAATCAACATTCTCACATCATTTGATTCTCATTTGATTCTCACATTTTATAGATTTACCAAGCCAAAGCACAATCTTTCCAAGTCTTGCTTAAAGGCACAATATGTAATTTTCGCCGCTAGAGGGTGCGTATTCAAAATAAACAAATAGACAAA